CTGAAAATTTGAATTTTCTGTATTTCTGTTTCATTTCAATGCGTTAATCTTTAATATTGGTCAGTACAGCCAAGATGAGGAAAACAAAGACTGATAGATTTAAGATAAGAAATAACTGCAACCATAAATGTACAGGTTGTGTGTCGATGAGCCGTCTCTTTAATTTACCCATAGATTTTTATTTGTGGAATATTTTCTTGTTTTATCACACAGAATCGTTGGCAAAGAAATGTTTAAAAATCAATACATTAATATCATCTTTCTTTTTTTTAAAGGTGACTTAAGAGATTAAAATTCATTTGGTTGCTGATGATTCTGAACAGATAAGAGTTATTTGAGGTAAGACTGGGTTAATTTTTAATTGTTTTGACAAAAATTAGCTTATTAGGTTTTTGTTTTACTCTTTAATTTACATTTCAATTAACCAATGAATGAGTATCATTTGAAAAAATGGTGATTATGAATATGAATAAACTATCTGAAATAATTTGACAAAGCTTTTAAGCCTTTTCACTGCAGGAAAGATTAAAAGTATGTGTGCATAGTCATTGTAACTTAATGTACCCTTTGAATAGTTTAAAATACTGAAGGTCCTTTAAGCCTTTGTTTAATTTTGGAAACTAGGGAAGACTGATTAGATTTTGAGGAAAACCATGCACCAAAGATAGCTTTTTTTCTTTTTAACTTTGTATATCATGCAAACAATTTTAGTCTTTTAAGTATTTAAACAAATAAGCTTATTGGAGAATTTGAACTATTTTGCTATTCATACTGATAGATTTTAGGGAAGAACATTTTAAAAATCAGATTTTCAGCTTGATTTTAGTTTCTGTTTCTTTATTTGTAACTAAAAAGTTGAAAAACACTTTATTTTTACTTGTTATTGTTTGCTTCCTAAGTAAGTTTAGCATCTTGTTTGTTTTCACCAAAAGGTATGCCATTTTGAAGACTGAGACATTGGAGTTTTATCCTTGAGGATAAAGGAAATCTTTGGGAAAGTCAGTATTTTATATAGCAAGTAAGTAAGTGTTTTTGCCCAACATCTGCAGTTTGAATAGTTACCAACATATAAGTATAAAAATATCACTAAAGTTTGTTAATGAAACAAACTATAGACTGTTTATCACTGAAAGGATGAGAAAACCATCAAATTGCTTTTCCTGACATCGAAACACTTCTGTTTCTATTAAGACAGTCGATGCACATAATTTATATTGGAGTAGGAAGACATTTAGTACATTTAGTACTACTTAATAAAGTGGTGCTTTAAAATTGTAGTTAAATCTGCAGTGGAGTCATTAGGATGATGTTTTTACAATCTGGTATATACAATCATCAGCCATTTTTTTTTTTTTGATGATATAGATCACATTTTAGGAGTGGTCTAGAATTTTGCATTTGCTGACTCTAGGATTCTTAAATATATTTCAAAAATTAAATTGACACTTTTGTATCTTAGTCATTTAATAGATACAGAATATCCATTTTACTTGTTTTCATGAGTTTTCAAATGGGTCCAAAAATGAGTTTTTTTCTAGAAAATAAGAGCAATGCATCTAAAGAGTCCTCTAATTTAATTGATTAATAATTGCTTTTAAAGCATAAAAGATGGAAATAATTTTCACACACTAGGTATTAGGCCCAGCATACCACGGATGTAACAGTTGAAATCTTAAAACTAGATCTGAGACTTTAAAAGAATGTCTACTGATATTTTTAAGGTAATATGCCTTTTTTATAAGTTAACGTTGAATCTGAAAATTATTGTCGAGCTGTTACTAGTGATTGACTAGAGGAAATATGTGGTATAATAATGGGTATCTTGGGAAATTTTAAGAATTGCCAAACGACCAGTTAATCATACTAGGGGCAAGTTTACCGTTGTCTTTAAAATTTATGTGGAAAATAAAATACAGTCTTTCAGTGCATTGTTGTTGGCTTATTTCATTGATTGAAATAGGTGATAAGAGGAATATTTTTATTGCCTTTGCTTCAGCTTAACTTCTTAAATCCCTTTTTTGCAGTTCGATCAAATTTGGGTGTATTACAGTGTGCAAAAGAAAACTAAATGTTTGACTTTTAACTATAGTGTTAACAACATTTACAAGAACCGTTGAAACATCCTTCACTTCAGAACTTCTTTAACACAAATGCCAAGATTAGGGTTTCTTCTGTACAGTTGATGTGATACTCAATTGGCATTCCTGTGGTTAGGCACCTTTACAGAAATTGAGAAATGGGTCTCATGTGAAGCATAATCTAAGTTTAAGTATAAATAGGCAGTAAATTTATACTGGCCTATTGAAGGTGTAATTTGATTCATAAAAAAGAAAGCAGCTGGAAAGGGCTAGAAATGTGAAATCAAAGATCCACATGTACTTAGATCTTTGTTAGTGCGTATATTTAGTGTTTTGATAGTTATGCTTGAGCCGATCTTGTATAATGAACATAATTGAATGGCACATGAGGGTAAATGTAATTATCATAGGTAGACAATATTAGATAAATAACAGTGGATCATGCAGATAGGATATTAAACTACTATGTTAGAAAAGTACATTATTGTTTACCACTGTTTGCTGCTTAAAAAGCAAAGTGATACTTACATATTTGTTTTTACCTTAGCATTTTACGGTAATTCTTGAATCATAAAAATCTCCTCATCAGTTTGGTGATTGAATTGGATTGCATTCATTGTTCTGATAAAAACTGTTTTAAAAATTACCTGACATTCTATAGAAATGAATGGAGCCATGCTGTGTAGTTAATCACAAGGCTTTTATGACATGACATTTATGGTATAGATAATATGAAATAGGCAATTTCAAATGTAAATTTTCTTTTAAACTTTACTAGTAATAGTTTTTTGATTATTTAAAAATTTGTACAATGGACAACCAATTTTACTCTTTATCCTCTTGAGAGTTGAGTGTGGAGTGGCATAAGGGCGAGAAAGATAATTTGAGGACATCTTTTTATCTTCTGCTTTAATCAGAGGTGGTGATAGAGTAGAAAATATAACTTCTGTGTCGGCAATCAGGAGACCTACCTTCTAACGTAAATAAGCCCTGCAGTCTTCACATTTTATTCCTTTTGTACCTTCATCTCATAATTTTTATGAAGGCTTTAGAGTTCCAAGCTCTTAAGATCCCTCTCAAATTGTGCGGTGAAAATAATTGCTAAAGCATGCCTAATTCTCTTATATAAACTTTTTGTAAACTGATTTTAGAGAAGCAATTAAAGAATGATACTGTCTTTAAACAGTGTTTAGAATGCTTCAATAAAAACATTAAAATTTTTTTTTCTAATGATGTAAATGTATCTAATATAAAATTAAGTGTAGTTTTATGTAATATTTTTCACTTGATTATGATATGATTTATAGTTTGCACGCCTGATTTAGTTTCCTTTACAAAATATTTGTACGTCAGAGGTAAATGTCTTTATTTTACCAGCTACCTCCTTCCAGATTGAATACTTCAGTGCACTTTTATTTTCAAATTGGCTATTATTTTTTTATATGTAATTAACCTTTACAATTTAAATTGAAGGCTATTCTGATTCTTATGTTACAAATATGTGACTTGATGGTTTATGTAACATTCAAGTAGTGTGTTTTCTATAACAATATGTTAAAAGTTTTGATAAATACCTTTTATATTGGTTGATAGGTCTGTATTTTAGAAAACATTCCTTTTCCTTTTAAAACTAAACCATTTATTTGAAATTATTTCCCAAACAATTACATCTTTAGTGTGCACTACAAAGTAGTCATAATCGTTTTAATTTAGATTATAAAGCTATATTTTAATTTTGAGGTTTGTGAATTTTCTTAGACATATTAATGACTTTATAGTTGATAGTGCTCTCAGATTTTATTTTTAAATTAAAAAATTGATCAGTTGCAGTATCTCATGTCTGTAATCTTAGCACTCTGGGTGGTGAAGACAGGTGGATCACCTGAGGTAAGGAGTTCGAGACCAGCCTGGCCAACATAGTGAAACCCCCATCTCTACTAAAAATAAAAAAAGAAAAATTAGCTGGGAGTGGTGTCCCAGCTACTTGGGGGGCTGAGGCAGGAGAATTGTTTGAATCCAGGAGGCGGAGGTTGGAGAGAGCTAAGATTGTGCCACTGCACTCCAGCATGGGTGACAGAGTGCGACTCCATTTCAGAAAAAAAATAAAAATAAAAAATTATTTTAAAAACCAAGTTTTCTAAGGAAAGCATAAATGACTAATAGGAGAATTGACTGAAGCTATCCTTTTTAAAAGATCCACAATCAAAATATGTACACTTTATCTGTAAGTTGTTATTAAATCTGAAACTGTGATATTATAAAATAGTAAGGATAGGTGGGAATATGAACAAAATTATCAACTTTCATAGACTGCGTAAGCTGAATTTTGCTACCTTCTCACCTGTTTCCAAAGATGGCAAAGTACTATTTTAGACTTTATGAGTTTTGGTTAGTAATTTTTGTGAATGATGCATGGGGAAGGAGATGCTATGAGAAATTACATTAGTGTCAGTAGTTTTGTGGTGATGCAAGTGAGATAACGTTTTCTGTCTTTGGTGTCATGAGAACCCAGAGGTACGTGCTGGTTGTACACGTAGATAACTTACTTAGAAGCACAATATCAGAGTGGTGTGAGGGATTTCTCTTAGATTTTTTTTTTTTTTTTTTTTTAACCAAGATTCCTTGAGGCAGTTCTACTCTTTGGGTTTACTTGGTTTCTTCACTAAACACTGTTACTTGTAAGGTCAGATTAAATTAGGAAGCTTAGAAATATGTTGCATTCCTTTTAAATTGCTTCATTTGTCAATTTCTTGGGAAGATAATTTAGCACCTAGTCATAGAGTAATTTTGAAGCAGATCTCTGCTGTATTTTTTGATTATGATCTGTCAAAATGACTAAAGGAATTTAGATTTTGGAAGATAAACAGGGACTTGCTCTATAATTTGAAAATTAGTCCTAAAAAAGCATTTGGATAGCACAGTTGTAACTTAAATCCTGAACTTTATTGCCTTTTATAAAAACCTTAAATTGCTACATTTTCATTTTCTCTCTTTATTTTTTTATTTTATTTTATTTTTTTGAGACAGAGTTTCGCTCTTGTTACCCAGGCTGGAGTGCAATGGCGTGATCTTGGCTCACCGCAACCTCCGCCTCCTGGGCTCAGGCAATTCTCCTGCGTCAGCCTCCTGAGTAGCTGGGATTACAGGCACCCGCCACCATGCCCAGCTAATTTTTTGTATTTTTAGTAGAGACGGGGTTTCACCATGTTGACCAGGATGGTCTCGATCTCTTGACTTCGTGATCCACCCGCCTCGGCCTCCCAAAGTGCTGGGATTACAGGCTTGAGCCACCGCGCCCGGCCCTATTTTATTTTTTTTTTGAGACGGAGAGTCTCGGTCTGTCACCAAGGCTGGAGTGCAGTGGCGTGATCTCAGCTCACTGCAACCTCCGCCTCCTAGGTTCAAGTGATTCTTTTGCCTCTGCCTCCTGAGTAGCTGGGATTACAGGCTCACACCACCACAGCTAAGTTTTGTATTTTTAGTAGAACTGGGGTTTCATCATGTTGGCGAAGCTGGCCTCAAGCTCCTTATTTCAGGTGATCCACCCAGCTCGGCCACCCAAAGTACTTGGATTATGAGTGTGAGCCACTGTGCCCAGCCATTTTCATATTGAACTTTTAAATACGTTTCCTTTTTTTTCCTTTTGGCAGGGAGTGATTATTGTAATCATACTTGAACAGGAGTGATTGAAAAAAGTATATATCTGTATTCTGAAAGTTACTTGAGACATGGGAAAACGCTGTTTTCCATGTTTAGTTATGAGGTATTTAAGTTTAACTAGTGGAAAATATGGATACATTTTATTTATTTATTTATTACTTACTCACTGAGATGGAGTCTTGCTCTGTTGCCTAGGCTGGAGTGCAATGGCACGATCTCGGCTCACTGCAGCCTCCATCTCCCAGGTTCAACTGATCCTCCTGTCTCAGCCCTCCCAAGGAGCTGGGATTACAGGCAGGCACCACCATGCCTGGCTAATTTTTGTATTTTTAGTAGAGTTGGGGTTTTGCCATGTTGGCCAGGCTGGTGCCTAACTCATGACCTCAGGTGATCCACCAGCCTCAGCTTCCCAGAGGGCTGGGATTACAGGCATGAGCTACTGTGCCTGGCTATTTATTTATTTTTTGAGGAGTCTCACTCTGTCGCCCAGGCTGAAGTGCAGTGATGCGATCTTGGCTCACTGCAACCTCTGCTTCCCGGGTTCAAGTGATTTCCGGCTAATTTTTTGTATGTTTAGTAGAGACAGTTTGACCATGTTGGCCAGTCCGATCTCAAACTCCTGACCGCAAGTGATCCGCTTGCTTCAGCCTCCCAAAGTGCTGGCATTACAGGCATGAGCCACTGGGCCTGGCCAGATACATTTTTATTATTAAGTATGTATTTTAGGAAGGATTAATGTTGGTTTAGTTGAGTAGATTGGTATAATTAGTAGTAGTTTGAAATGATGCCTATGGTTTTCTAACATTTTGTCTTAGTGTTGATTAAAGACATAATAATGTGATATAATACGGTAATATTAAGAAATGAGAAAGTTGCCTTACAGGTGGGCAATGTAAGCTTTTTCTTAGAAGGATTGAAAGTAAATAGATGTAAGACTTGAAACAATTTTGTACTGTAGGAGTGATGTTGCCTCTGTTAAATAACTAGTTCCCAACCCTAGGTTGCCGGTCAGATCCACCTGGGGAGCCCAAATATTTACCTACTTTTTTAGAGTTCTTAGGGGCTGAAACTTATACTTATGATTTTGTAGTAACATATTCTACAGAGGAGACTCCTGTACAGCCAAATTTGTGATATTCAAGAACTTACATTGTATGTTTTCTGCTTGGACTATATTGTTATTAAATACATACATGTTTTGGTCTACTGGTGAATGATCCTTGCAAGATGTTGACATTTTGGTATAAATCACGGTGCTTAATAACCTGTTTGTTTTTTATGTATAAAATTCTTTTTGTCCTCTGCAGAAATACGAACCTCACACTGAATGAACTCTAAAGGCCCCATACAATGACGTAGACATTGGTGGAAGCATTTAGTAAGTATTAGTCAATTTACATGTTTAATGTGTTTGAAAATTTTAAATACTACTTTGGAAATTTTGAAAAGTCAAGACAATTGTAAATAGGAGCATTTAGTGAAGCTCAACACAGTACAAGAAAATCAACATGGTTAGATATGTTTAAAGTTTATTAGTAAAATTTTGCTTATTAACTTACTCCAATCTATTGTTTTCTGCTTTCTTCACTTAGGCAAGTTAAAAGGGAAACAACCCACATTTGATGAACATATTTGTAACACTGTTATAAACGCGGATGTTGATAAATTCCCTTTTGTTTTTGTAAATAAAGTTTTATTACAACACAGCTATGCTCTCTGATTTAGATACTGTTTGCAGCTGCTTTCTCAGTATAGCAGCAGCAAGCAGGGGAGTTGTACTGAATGGCCACAAAGCCTGAAATACTTACTGTCTCATCTGTAGGGAAAGTTTACCCTAGGTTCTACAGCTGTTCCTTTTGTCAATGTTGCCTTAACCTGATTAGAACTCAGAAGCCCTTGGGTTCTCTTTTGGTAATAGAACATGCTTTTTAATGATTTCCAATATTATAATTACTTCTAATAAGTTAATTAATTTTGAAGTTACTTAAACTTGAAAGCCCAACAAAAAGTTTTTTAGTGTGAATTGACCCTGAAGTTATGCTTTGATGTTAGAACACATGGTTACCACCTCTGGAATGGTTTTTCTATTTTTTTTTTTTTTTTTTTGAGGCAGTCTTGCTCCTATTGCCCAGGCTGGAGTGCAATGGTGTGATCTCAGCTCACTGCAACCTCTACCTCCTGGGTTCAAGTGATTCTCCTGCCTCAGCCTCCCAAGTAGCTGGGATCATAGGCATGCACCACCAAGCATGGCTAATTTTGTATTTCTTATAGAGACGGGGTTTCTCCATGTTGGTCAGGGTGGTCTTGAACTCTCGACCTCAGGTGATCAGCCCGCCTTGGCCTCCCAAAGTGCTGGGATCATAGGCATGAGCCACTGCACCCGGTTTGGAATAGTTTTTTTTTTTTTGGAATAGTTTTTCTAACTGAGAACCTGAAAAATAGTGGGAGAGTGTTGATGGGATGATTGTATAAATGAATCCTGGTGAATTCTCAACATTATTTTAAAATTTATTTATTTTTTTTGATATGGAGTTCCCTCTCTGTCACCCAGGCTGGAGTGCAGTGGTGCGATTTCAGCTCACCGCAGCCTCCACCTCCCGGGCTCGAGCGCTTCTACTTCAGCCCCCCGTGTGGCTAGGATTACAGGCATACATCACCATGTCCTGCTAATTTTGTATTTTTAGTAGAGATGGGGTTGCACCATGTTTGCCAGGCTGGTCTCACACTCCTGACCTCAGGTGATCCGCCCGCTTCTGCCTCCCAGAGTGCTAGGATTATAGGCATGAGGCACTGCGCCCAACATACTAGCTACTTCAGAAAAATAATTTAAAAAAAAATCACATTTGGGAATCTAGATTTTAGATGATAATTTTTATTTTAGCTTGCATTGTATAAATGGCTCCTAGGGCCTACAAAATAGATTTTACTTTTGTGGGAGGGGGTTAAAGTTTGTTTTTTGATATGGGATGATGAAAGAGATGAAAACTTTATGATATAGTACAATTATTGGCTGTGGTCATGTTAAAGAGATTAATTGCTTAGCATATAGTAGATGCTCAGTAAATAGTGTATAAATATGGCTTCTGTTAAACATTTAATAGCTAGTATTTTGGGTTTAATTTAAAAACAGTGACATTCACTATTAAAATAAGCTTTAATGAATTAACTTAAATTTTAGGCATGCCTGAAAGGCAAAGTTTTGACTAAGTAAAAATTAAAAGTGACAAGATTTTATTATTTCTGTGCAATTCTCAATCTCTTAGCTTGAATGTATAATCAAGTTTTAAGCCAGTGGGGACAGTATAGAATATTTGATTTGATTGTAAATCTTAAATAGGATGGCTTCCTTTCTTAGTTGTCATAATTGGCCTTCATTTTACAGTTTTTATGCCCATCTTAAGACCCAGAGTTGTTAATATATATTCTAATGAAGATTCAAGCTATCTTTTGGTAATAAGACAATATATGTGAATTTACTTCTCAGGGCTTTCTTTTTTTTCTTTCTGAGATGGAGTTTCACTCTTGTTGCCCAGGATGGAGTGCAATGGTGCAATCTTGCCTCACCTGTAACCTCCGCCTCCCGGGTTCAAGTGATTCTCTTGCCTCAGCCTCCGGAGTAGCTAGGATTACAGGCATGCGCCACCATGCCCTGCTAATTTTTGTATTTTTGGTAGATGGAGTTTAACCATATTGGCCCCGCTGGTCTCGAACTTACGACCTCAGGTGATCTGCCTGCCTTCGCCTCCCAGAGTGCTGGGATTACAGGTGTGAGCTGTCTCAACGGGTGTCTTGGGCTTTCTTATATAAATATTTTCACTTTTAACGACAGTAGGCAAATAAGATTGAAATAAAGTCATAAGCACCAAGAATGTTAATTACATGATGAGAAGGATGAATTTTTGCTCTAGGTAATTTTGCACCTTTTTGTCTCATTGGCTTTGAAATAAAGTTTTAAAATCTGTTACATTAATAATAGTGGCTTTAAGATAGCCATCCGTTAAGATAATTAAGAATGATTATTTCTTTTTCCTTACACTACTCTCTGCCCCTCACCCCATTTTTTTTTTTTTTTTTTTGGGCTACTAAAAATGGGAAAATTTGCTGAAAAGTAGAGAAAAGGAGATGGTTTATTTTAGGGGAGCCCTCCTAAACCCAATCAGGATGGTGAATCACTTACATTTGTATCCACCAACAATGTACTTCATGAGGTCTCAGTACAAATTTACTAAAGTAGAATTTGAAAAGAATACCTTAGTTGGGTGCGGAGGCATGTGTTTGTGGTCTCAGCTCCTGGGAAAGCTGAGGTGAGAGGATCTCTGCCACCCAGG